TTAGGCATATACAGTAGTTCTATTAGTAATAATGCCTGTATATAAAATAAGTCAGTCAGAGTAAGATTTAAAATATTCCAGGGATGATTCTTCCCCAGTTCTCTACTTTCATATAGTTTTCTTTCTATTTTGATTTTGCTTAACTTTGATGATCTCTTCCTGACTACAACTCTGCCTAGATCTCTAGTGGTATTATTGCCTTTTATACTGGGGAGCTATAGGTGTCTATAACTTCCATATTTCTTGAATATTTTTAAGAATTGTAAGCACACTTGCCTCCTGTCAAGTTTATCATACTGGATATGCCAGAATCATCAACAAAATGAAAGTATCAGTCTCAATGTCTTTATTTTTATGTGGTACTGAGGATAGAACCCAGGGCCTCATGCATTTGAGGCAAGTGCTCTAACTTCGAGCTACAACCCCAGCCCTGAAAGTATCAGTCTCTATAAGCTACATATCAATCCTTAGACTTTATTGTGCAAGGCTGCTTTCTTGATTAGGTGACTCTTTGTGGTCAATAGTTGTGTCACAGGATAATAGTTCCTGTTTTATTTTCAGAACTGAATTTGGATACTTGCATTGAACTGCAGAAATTTCCCAAGCTTGAGGGTGATGCCCTTGGAGGCTTGGCTGTCAAAACACCTGGATGTGAGCTGAATGTCCTCACTGATACCATGAGTGTCCTGAAACAGAAGATCATGAAAAGAAAACAACTCTTCTGCAAGTGGAGAATGGCATGCAGATTCCCAGGACTTCAAGCTTCGGGTAGAGTGGTGACAGCTTCTGTGGCTCTGGGATGCACTTACCTCTTTTACCTCTTTCTATGAGGATATAGCTCCTTCTGCTATGATTTCTCTTCACCATGGGTTATTTCCAACAGCTGATGGAGACTGTCTGGTCTTATGTTTCTATTTTATGGTCTTCCACCCTGAGAGGCCGTTCCATCTCTAACTCCTGTTTGCATTCAGAAATCTGCTCTGTTCCTACATCTTCTGTCCTGATATTCCCTGTAACTGACACAGAAAAGCCCAGCTTAATTGGGGGTCCTAATCCCATGAAGAGCATCTTTCAGACACATTCCACCTTCCCTGGAATCACACACTGTCTAGGCTTTTGATATACCCTGCTTCCTTGACTCTGCTGCCTCTTTATTCTGGGAACTTGGCCTTCATATGTCACTGACACATGGCTCCTTCTTGGACCCTCCTTGGCAAACAGGACTAAGTCAACCCTGGATTCTTATCTTGTACACACAAAGGAAAATTGTGAAAACTGAAGAGAAAAATTATGACAACTGAACTTTATTGGGCTATAGGTGGCAGACCCAAACAGGTCTGGAGTCATTTTGTCTTCACTCCTTAGCCCACTCCATTTTCTGTGACACCTGTTTCTGCTCATTCCTGATCTACATTGTAATAACTTTAAAGATTTCCTGCAGATTCTTATTCCTGTCTAGCCAAGGTGAATGAAGAACCCACATGGGCTCTGTGTTGAAATGGGTGAAATAGCACTATGTAATGATTCCTGAATGTTTTTGAATTGTTTGCAGAAAACCATGAAAATGATGATGAAAAAGATCAAAATTCACTGAATTCCAGGTAAAAACAAATAATCTGGAGATTGTAAGAAAGGGCAAAATAAGAGGTTAAGGATAACCTGAAAGAATAGACCATGAGGTCAAAAGTAGACACATTTGATGACCAAATGTAAAAAGATTACTGTTGGCAGGGGTGATGTTGACTAAGCCCAGTGTGATGGAGCCCTTTAGCAAGGTTATCTTTTATCTTCCTGGTGCTGGTACAGTGAGTGTGACTGAGAAGAACTGCACAGTCTTGGGCATTTCTTCCTTTTAACAAAATCACTTGTTTATTTTTAAGTTGAATAATCAGAACTAGAAGCATACTATCTTTCTATACTATGGCCTGATATTCGCGGACAGGTATGTCATAGCAAGAAAAACAGAAATACGCTCCCTTTCTACCCCTTCCCCCCACAAAAAAAAGTATTGTCAAAAAAATGGATAGAAAAAGTTCTAGAAAGCACACATTCTTTGGGCACTGTATCATGTATCAGGCTGTATTTGCTGGCCATGTATATGCAAGTGTCAATATCAGTCATGCCCTAGGTTCAACTACAGCTTTGCTTCTCATTGTATGATCCTTCTGTAGTTGTACTTCATACATGAAGTTGAGCCTCCTTTCTCATCAGCTTTTTATCTGGCCAGTACACTGGACACTGGTGGCTCTCCCTCTTTCTCTCATACCATGGCACCTGAACTATATCCATGAGTTGAAAATTGTTTTCTAGATCATTTTTGAAGGGAGGCACCTGTT